ACTTGCGTTATTTTGTAACCACTAAGAACGCTTAATGATTTAATTTGACATTACAATATAATTATATAATTTCGATCGTATTTTATTAATTCTCAGATTAATATAGGCTTATGCTTGTATTTTATTGCATTCTCACTTTTCCTCATTTTTATGTTCCGATTTTGGTCAAATTATAAACATTCTATTTCTTATAAAATCTGATAATATTTATTATAATTAGTGTTGTTAAAGGCTCGATTTTTAAAAACTGCTAATCCAATATTTTAGCCAAAAAATATTATGCTAACCCGGCAATTTTACTCAAAGATGGTAGATGGGTTATGACATTTATTAACGAAATCTCTAGGCTTGCGTAGTATTTTTTGGCTAAAATATTGGGTTAGCCGTTTTTAAAAATCGAGTCGTTTAACAAGACTAATCATAATGCTTAGCATTTTTATTCTTAAGAACATAATTTTTGTGTGAAGGGGCCTATAGATGCCATATAGTATTATCTTTTTATAAATTTAAAATTAAACTAGAAATTTTCCATCTAAGGAATATATAAATAAAGAATTTATTTAAAAAAATTTTTTCACTCATTAAAAAAAAGTTGGACTTTTAAAGAGTTAAAAATATAAAAGAAAATGTTTATAAATTATTGAACCCGTAATAAATCTCTATCAAAACAAGATATTATTTCTTGAATATAACAATCAAAATATTATAGAATCTAATTATATGTAGTCGTAGAATATATTTTGTATAGTTAATAGAGATCTCTGAAAATTTATTTATACATAAAATTTTTTAGGCCAGACAATTTATACATATAAAACCAGACAGTTCCTCGCAAGTTGATTTCGATGGCATTTATGCTATTATTTGAATTCAAACTAATATTATGTTTATACTATTTTATTCGAAAATAAATTACAATATGTTTATCTTTGTATTTTACTTTAAGGGCTCTCTAATAAAAATAATAAATTTATAAATAATATTGTAAATTCACAAAATATTAAACAAGTTATATATGAAAAGATTCCATTACAAATATAAAATACAGACATCATACATCGATTTATGAAAGGGTTCTTGTAAGAAATAGATAACCATAGAGGAGAAATATAAAAGCCTTAGATATTGGGAAAAAAATTAGATTTAGATATTAAAAATGTTCTTGCCGAAATACTCGTGGTGGGTCCAGACTTTTCTTAACGGGCGAGAAATTAAAAATATACCGGGTTGACAAGTCATGCCAGGTTTCTCTAATACTTACTATTATATTATACCAAATAAATTTAACATAGAAACATATAATCACCCTTTATTTTTTAAAATTTTATTTTTAAAATTTTATTTTTTAAATTTTTTAAAATTTTTTTAAAATTTTTAATTTTAATTTAATAAATTCTTAATAAACGCTTAATTTTTATGTTTTAAATTTATTATAAATAATAATAGATATACACATTTGATTATTTTTATATTTATTAAATAAATTTTATATTATTTTGCATTTCCTAGAAGTTGTCTAGTTTGTCATATTCCATTTTATAAAAATATATATTTCTCATTTTCAATATGAATTTCACACCACCCAAAAAAAGGGAGTTATTAATTCAAACGTATCATGATATTGACTCAAAAAATCAAAAAAAAAACTAAAAAGATATTGTCCGACCAGATTCATCGAAAGACAGGAGTCGGTGAAAGTTTTTATTGAACTATATGATGTTGTCTTTGCAGCACTAGAATTTTATATATCAAGCAAGGAAAAAGATTCAGCAGATGCCAAAAATCTTTTGCAGGCTATTATTAAGCCACAGTTTTTTATTTCAATTCAATGTGTTTATTTTTTATTTAATTATACATATGATTTTAGCAAAATGCTACAAAAAAGTGATTTGGATTTAAGGGAGATTATGAATAGAGCAAAGGATATTGTTGAAATATTAACAAATATCAGAGAGAATGTGGATGAAAAATTTCATGAAATATATGAAAAAGTAAAGGAGATTGCTAATATGTTTGGAATTGAAATTTTTAAACCTAGAGTAATCTCTAGACAATCCAATCGATCAAATATTGATGCATCTAGAGTAATCTCTAGACAATCCAATCGATCAAATATTGATGCATCTACGATTGAGGATTTTTATAAAATCATTTTTATTCCCCTTATTGATACATTTTAATTTCAATTAAAAGAAAGATTTATTAGTCATAATTATATTTTAAAAAGCTTTTATTTTCTTTTGCCGGTTGAGTCTAAACTGTTGATTACACTTGAAACACGAGAGGATATAAAAAATCTCAGAATTTTATGCTGATGATTTAGTAGGTTCATATGATAAGTTACTTTGTGATGTCGAATTTTGGTATAAAAATCTTGACAGAATAGGGTATTCTTTGAGACCAAAAAATGCTCTGCAGGCCCTTTCCATGTGTAATTGCATTTTAGATTCCCTGCCTAATATCTAAACATTATTAATTATTTTAGCTACCTTGCCAATTAGTACCTGCACTAATTAAAGGTCTTTTTCAACTTTAAGAAGGTTAAAAACTTATTTAAGAAACACAACCGGTGAAAAACGTTTAAATAATATTTATAAGGAGATTATTTTAGATAAAAATTTGATTCTAGATGAATTAGCAAAATCTCAGAGAAAAGTAGATCTCTCTTTTTAAATTCAAATCAAAAAATAACAATAAAATTTAATTAGTTTTAATATATAATCAATTTTATTTTGTAAAAAAAGTATTATTTATAAGATAATATATCATATTTTTTTCATTATTTGCATAAGAATTACACATATTTTATATAATTGTAAAAAATTACTTTTTTTTTAAATAGAGTCTTTATACATTATAATTTTTAATATTAAAATCTGTATTATATAAAATATCAACATTTTGAAAATATTAACATTTTGAAAATATTTTAATTAATAAAAATATATACATGATTAAATAAAGGAATGTTAAATATATAATAAAATACCCTAAAATTCTGTTATATGAAAATATAAAACAATTTTAACAAATCCAAAAATATAAGCAATTAAGTGTTCAAAAAAAATGGGAGGTTTGGGGGGCGTGTTCAAAAAAATGGGAGGTTTTGGAGGCGAAGCCCCCCAACAATTTTTAACCCCCCCCCCCCCCCCATGATAAAATCCTGGCTACGACACTGAATAAACCTGTTGGCTAAAGTATAAATTAATGGCGGTGGTTTAGTATTTTTTGATCGACAATTGTATGCATGCCGAATATGCCGCCGCCTAACAAATTGGTTAAACCTATTTTAATAAAGAAAAATTCATTTATAATTCAAAATTCTATAATTTATTTCTATACTCTTAGTTTTATCATTAATATTAAAGTTCTCAAATCTTTTCCGGTCCAACCCTATAGAAATTTAAATATTATACTCATTCTTCGAAAATAGATTTATGATAAAATATTTTTAAAAATTTACACATCTCAGTCAATTAATAATATTTTTCAAAATTATTTTAATATTAAACAAATTTAAATATAAATAGTATAATATATCATATCATTTTCGATTCAAACAAAATATTTAAATAAATTAAAAATCAAATTTAGTTAAGTGTTAAATATCGTGAATAAGTACAGATTTATAGGACATATAGATATAATTTTTTGCGTTAATTATTGATTTACATATATAAAATTATTTTTCGCCAAATGTGCATGTTACATTTTTTAAATAACTTTTATGGTTAAGTTAGTTAATTACGGGAGTTCCATTTATTTATATTCCCAAAGGAGAGTGCATACTGTTCTGGTAAAGTTTATTGACGATGAAATATAATATTCCTGCTATTGTTAGTGATATGCCAAACTTTACTTAAGATGGAATATTTTTGAGCTATTTTTGCAATATATGAGCTTCTTGTTGAGTTATAACTTTTAAAAAAAATTAGACCAATGTTTAATTAAATTGAAATATAATCGACATGTGTTAATTAACTGAGGGGGGTGGGGGATTACTACTGGGAGAGGATATGGGGCTCCAGACATGTAAAATTAACTATATAAGTATTTAAGAGACCTAAATCAATTTTAGTCTCAACCTGGATTTTTATTTTTTATCATTTAATTTTTTTTAAATTAATATAATTTTGGCACAGTTTTGCACATTGTTTCAGGGGAAATTGAAAATGAATATTGAATACTCTATTATACGATTTTACCCAACTTTCAAACTGATTATTAATTTATTTAAAAGCAGCTCGTCCAGAATTCTTATTTTTTTTTCACTTTTTATGCCCAGCCCAAATTTTTAAATCTTTTATCCGAATCTGGATTTTTTAAAAATCTTACCATTTTCTAACCATTTCCGGACCGCATCTGCAAGTCTTATATATATATGCTTTTTTGAAAGGAATAAAATTACTCCAGAGGAAACCCATAAAAGATATGGTCGTGAGCCATGCAGATAATTCATCTGCTTATGTGGTAAAGCGGTGATCAAAATTTTCTGAATCGCGAAAACAAAAATCGCTAATAATTGAATTTCCTAGAAAATTTTTAAAGTAAATCTGAAATTAATATTAATCGACTACTTTATCACAACAAATATACAACTTTATAAGAATAAATTTTACTATACGCAACAAATTATTCCATTTCTTTTAAAAAAAATATTACAAGTACAAATCGCCAATGAATTGTTTATTATACTATTAATAATTATTTTAATTTGAGACAAAATTAAATATGCACTATATATTTAAGCAAAATACCTAATATTTTTATTAATTCAAGCTTACTATATATTTTTACCCTAACGATTTTTAGCCCTAAATATAATAGCATCTCAAATATTATGCCCTCTGAGATTATATGCCAATGAGTCTTGCTCTTTGTGAAACAGAGTGAGAGCGCAAATGTAGCGCAGCGCAGTGCAGCGATCGAGGGTTTTTATTTTAAATCCATTAATATACCACATAAACAAATTCATCGAATTAATGCAAGACTGAAGAAAATTTTATTTCTGTTTAATAAACACAATAAACCCGATTAATTAATAAGAGACGAGTGTTAAAACTCGATATAAATAATTTTTCGTATTTTAAAAATAATGATAATTATAAATATGTAATTTTTTTTAAATAAGTAAAAATGTGATTAAGCATAACGAAAATCTTCTATAAATTATATCATTTTTTTAAGCAGAACAAACAACGCAAGGGATCTCGCACCCACTGGGATATTTGTCGCATGGTAATATTCCGCAATCAGCTTCAACAACCGTCAATACCGACATATCTTTGTCATAATTAGAGCCTCCAGAATTAGGTTCTTGGTCAACACAAATGTAACTAGTACGAGTTTTTTGTGTGTTAGCCGACATCAAATAACCTTCGCACCATTCAAAATTTAAATGTTGATAAAAAATTAATGTATTGGTTAAAATAATGTAAATGATTAGTTTCTGTTTTCAATTTTTACACTTTATTTTAGATTAGGCATTATTTAACCTATAGGTAAAATATACAAAAATATATTTAATATAAAAATTTTTTTTAAAAAACAACTTTATCAAAAAAAAAAAAGGTTGAACAAATCTAAAGAAAATAAACTTCGACAATGAAGCCTATTTCCAACTTTTTTAAAAAAAATTTATTAACCCTGAAGCCTACACCTAGTTCAGGTGAAATCAACCTAGATTTCTTTAATGAATTTAAATTTAATCCTAGCCATTCTAAATAAAACTTTTTTTAGTTGACATAGTGTCATTTTTCAAACTCATAGTGATTTATTTCAAAGATAATACTCCCATTATTTTAATTATTATTTTTCATTTTTAACTAGTACGATTTTTTTTTATTTTATAATTGGTAAAAATTTTCCTTAATATATATTTAGATTTAATCCCATTAAAATTATATATATCATATCTTTTTTTTTCAATTGATTTATTTTATTTAAGGTAACTTTTTCGATATAACCTTTGTATTCCTGGTGGAAAGGATTAGGGCAGCTAGTGTAACCAGGAATCATGAGAATAGCGTTTCGCCTTACGTGACATACGGCACATGTAGCTATGTGTGAATCAAAATTCGCGTATTTCAAGTTAGAATTGTGGGAAGTTTTGTAAACTGTTCCAAACAACTTGGATTTCGAATCGAATTTGTCAGTGAATTGTAAGAATTCGGGGTTGTTTGGTAAACATATATAACCGCCTCCGCTACCTGTGTAGAAGAAATGTCCGCTAGCGATCGTTCCTATTTGTTATTTGTATAATATTATATAATATTTAAAAAATATATAATGCATTTTTTAATATTATTTAAGAAATTTAGGATTCATACCATCATATAACAATGAGGTTCCTTGGTCTGAGGGGCAGTCAGATCGTCCGTAACGTACGTAAGTAGATGCACCTTCTCCTTTTCCAGCTCCGTGGCTCTTACAATCACAACGATCATTTTTACCTGGATTTCCATCTCTACCTTTTTTGCCTGGTCTTCCCGATTTACCAGGATTGCCTCTCCTTCCTGAATTACCATTCCTACCGGGTTGACCCTTTGACCCCGGTCTACCATTACTTCCTGGCCTTCCGTCATCACCCTTTTATTATTTTCAATCATATAAATATAATATTTATTATTAAAGTATATTTTCTTAAAAATGCATTTTTTATTCACACAACATTTTGTAAATCTTCATTACTTTAAAAATAAATTTTATTTTAAACAAAAGATTATAGAAGATAATACTTATTTTTCCCAACATTTATCTGCTCATTTTCTTTTCAAGCGAGTTTATTCCTTACTAACTTGTAAATTCAAAGTAATGAATATGGATTATATAAGAAAATATTTATATACAGCATATCCAGGATTTCCTCTGGATCCATCTCTCCCAGCATTCCCATGTCTTCCAGCTTTGCCATCAGATCCAGCGGCGCCTTCTGAACCACGATCTCCAGCATTACCTCTGGCACCTGGAATACCATTTCTACCTGGGGTACCTTGTTTACCGGGTGAACCTCTTATTCCGGTGGGCCCCTTAAATATTTATTTTACAGTTAGATAAAGGTCTTATTATTACCATTATTTATGCATATAAAAAAAGAATTGAGAAATATAGACTAAAATGATAATTTTTCATTTAATTTTTTTTACCGTTTCCCCATTGCCGCCAGGAGTACCATCTTTTCCTGGAACTCCATCGTTTCCGTTGGATCCTCTATTGCCGGGTTGGCCATCAGATCCAGATCTTCCATCTATTCCTGGTTTTCCGGGCTGTCCTTTTGGTCCAGGACTGTTTCCAGGAACTCCTGGGTTCCCGGCAGATCCATCAGATCCTGGCGCACCATCTTGACCGTTGTTTCCATCTTTGCCAGGAATTCCATCGGATCCAGCAGGACCGGTGGGGCCTGGTTGGCCATCAGTACCTTGCGAGCCATCATTTCCAGAACTGCCATCAGATCCACGTTGACCTGAGCTTCCTGCGTTTCCAGGGTTTCCATCAGAGCCTGCCTTGCCTGGAGAACCGCTAGAACCCTGCATATTTGTCAATTTTATGATTTGGATGTTAAGGTGTTATTAGATCTTACACAATTTAAATAATCAATCCGATATTTTGCGATGAAATAAAGGGAAGGGGAGGCATTATAAAACTTTAAAAGCAATAACTTAAATTTTGTAAACATTATCTTTGAAAGTATAATTCATCATAAAGGAATGAAATACTTAACTTAAATATTTTAATAATATACCGGTGCACCATCAATTCCAGGTGTTCCCGCAGATCCTGGATTTCCATCTTTTCCCGCACTTCCATCGTTTCCAGCACTTCCCGCTACTCCCGGTGTTCCGTCAGCTCCATTATTTCCATTTCTCCCCTTAGGATTATTAATTTTTTTCACAAATTGTTATTCTTACATTATCTTGATTTCTATAAATGTTATTTTTTGAAAATATGAAATATGTATCTTTAAATAAACTTTTTGTCCAGCTTTTCCGGGTATCCCGTCTTTTCCGGCGCCACCATCTTGACCATCAACTCCATTCTTCCCAGATACTCCTGGTTGTCCATCATTACCTTTTTTGCCAGCGGAACCAGCTGGTCCCTTTAAAATGTTAAATATAATTGTTATAATAATATTATTCTTAACATTCTCTATATCTCGTGATTTTAAAATTTGATGTAAAAAAAGAATTCGTAATTTTATTTATATATTTATTGTTGCTGATAATAATGGAAAGCCTATTTTAGCCTGAAATATTAATGATAAATAAAACATTTGCTAAATAAATTTCTTACTTGTGGTCCAGCGGATCCAGGACTACCTGGTTTGCCATCGTTGCCTCTTGCTCCAGGTTTTCCATTGTAACCTCTTTTACCAGGGGTACCTGCATCACCTGACTTACCATTTTGACCAGCCGGACCCTTTTGAAACATAAATATAATATTTGCACTCATCATAACTGTGATGAATATTTTTTTTAAAGCAATAAGACAAAAAAAAAGGTTTTTATTGACTAAGCCATCTAATTTCATAAAATTTTCAAATATCTTACAGGTTGGTTAACATTATTCCCAGGGGTTCCGTCGGTACCTGATTTACCATCAAGTCCTTTACGACCAGCTACTCCTGGTTTACCATCTCTTCCAGGTGTTCCGTCTTTGCCCGCATACCCAGCTGGACCCTGGTGTAAATAAATGTTATCTAATATTGTACTACATACTAGCAACAAAAAAAAGATATCAATAATTTTATCTATTCTCAATAAATACTTTTGTAAATACTATAAAAATTAATTCATATGTAATTATTAAATAAAGGTCGCGGTGGTATTTTATTCGGTATATGGCTCGGTAAAAATCATCAAATTACTACGATTCATTTAACGATTCAAATCAACTAAAAATCTAAGTAATACACTTAAGATAAATTACTAAAGCGCCATCTCTTCCTGCTAATCCAGGATTTCCTGGCGAGCCTCCTCTGCCATCAGATCCCTTATTCCCCGAATTACCTGATCTTCCAGGTTTCCCAGGATTACCAGCCTTTCCTCTATGACCAGGGATTCCATCTGGGCAAGATCTGCAAGCCTCTAATATACAGTAAATTAAAATATTTTTAGATATCTTTTCTATTTACTAAATTTTATTAATTGGTTAATTTTACAAGTATATAGTATATAAGCTACTCATGATTGAAATTTACATACCGACTTTATGGTATGAAAAAGGGCTGACTGGACGACCGTATGTATCTCTCTTGTCCCTCGATAAATATAAATCGTTTTCCGCAGCATTAATATTAATTTTATCTTCAACCTTGTTTCCTAATTCATCCTGGTATTGAAATTAATATTTAAAAGAATATATATCGAGGTGCTTTAAACTCTTACCTTGAGTCCAGTTATTTTCATATGCAAGAAATTTATGACTTGTTGCTTCTGAAGCATCTTGCCTTTCAAGGTTTCCACCATTTGATTTTGCTCTAGCTTTATTTTGTCCAGTTGATAATAAAAAACTGGTATCATGACACAACATGCCAAGGCAATACATAAAAATGAGACGAACGATACTACTAGAACGCTAAATATGTTATTGTTATGTTTTTCTTCCTGGTGCTGACAGTAACTTCCAAGGCCCAAAAATTTACCCATCGTTATTTTTTATAATTTAATTTTCTAAAAAATTTAATAATAATTTTTTTTAAATTTTACTATTATTATGTAATAAAAGAAAGCGTTAAAAAATTTCTAAAAAATGGAATGTCTGAAAAAATATCCTAAATTTTTGCTCTATATATACGAATTTTTCAAGTATATCAGATGATTTTTTGTATTATTTCTTTTTAAAACATTATTATTTTAATTTTTAAAAAAGTTAAATTATCTTTATAATAATACCCATGTTAACATAATATCGAATCGGCTTAATTTTAACCAAAAAATAAGCATTAAACTTATTTAAAATTTAAATTAGGTATTCCAACATTGTTTGTCACATATTCAGTTTCCATTTTTTATCTTATCATATATTTTTTTGTTTAATTCGCCTTTTTAAAAAAATTTCATGTCCTTTCATCTAAAAAAAAATATATAAATAATTGTGTCATGATCTGACATAAATTTTTATAGATGATAAAATGTTAAAAATGTTTTTTATTAATATTTAAAATGATTATTAAACGGGGTTAATGATTTATCTACCATGTCAATGACAAATATAAGTTAATAGCATCACTAAGGTCTAAGGAGAGGTAAAAATGTCTTCAGAATAAGCAAACTTACTATTAGCACGTCTATAATATTTCCCATTTGTCATAAAATTAGCATTCCTAATTTTTTTTTTAATGTACACCCATATAATAATAGCTCACAAGGCCATTGAAAGTTAAATAATTTCTAAATTTTACTTACATTATAAATGTTTAAATTATTTATCATGAGATAATATTGGATAGGATCCTAATATTGTTAGAAATCATGATTATTAGCAGATTTCTTTTCTTTACACAAAATGTCTTATAGTGGTTATTTGTGACTCTGTCAACTATGAAATTTTAAATAATTGCTGAATGGTGTTAAATGTTCGATATAATATTATTTTCATGCCGAAAAGTTTAATAATTTTTTAAATATAGGTCAAGGTAAAAAAAATTTAAACAGTTCATAGTCATAAAAATGTTTTAAAAAATTATATTTAAAATAAGATGATATAAACAAACTACTTTTACTTCTAATTATATACAGCACGCAAATAATTTGTTAAAGTTACAATATAATTAAATTACTCCATTTTAATCAAATATACTTTCAATATTAAATGATACTAAGTGAATTTATATAATTTATGATTAAAATACTCTTTGAGCCATATTTTATGATATGATATTAATAGTAATAATTAGTTTCGCATAATTATAAGAAAGATTTTTTTGAATATAATCTTGATTTATAAATTAAAATATTATCTAGAAGAATGATGTTAATAGCCCATCTTTCCCATAGTATCTCTGGAATCCTCTGATAAATTATTCAGTGTCCTAGTTCTTAGAAGAAGAAAAAATGCCCAACCGTTAAAATAGTTGCTAATAAATGTATGAAATTGTATCTAATAAGTAACGCGGAATAATATTCTCTGCGTTTTATTGATGTCTGATTAAGGCATCTTCAGGTGTGAAAGGGCCGTGAGAGAAGTTATAGGCTATAAAGTTGACATTCTTCCAGGAAGTCCTGGTTAATTTGTTAAGGTGTTTCGGAGTAGAAACTACAGAATTCATAAGGCTTGAGGATCGTATGAATAGTGGTTTTTAAGGCTCTAATTATATTATATTTGGAGGGAAACTATAAGTATTAATGTCTATATAGTGAGAGGCTTGAATTGAGGCATAGCAGTATAAGGTTAATGTCCAAACTTGGGCAAAGATTTTCACTTAATTTCAGCAAAAATAAAATTGACCTGACCTTTCGAATCCTAGAACTTAGGTTCAACTAAAACATAGGCATGGGCTTTAAGTTTTTTAAATGAATTTATATTATCTTATATTCAATAGTCCAAAATAGTTCTTACATGCGTTACATAAAATGCTTTTTATAAAATGTGTTTCCAAGTGTTACATGTACATGGGAACGCATTTCATTATGTATACACGGAAGCTTATTAAAGAAATCATTATTCTTACCGCTTAGTATAAAATAGTTGCATTTTGTAAAATTTATTTCATAAGATTCATTTCATAACTGTGGTTCATAAAATGAGTATCATAAAATCTATATGTTTAAGCCTTATAATCCAGGATCGACCAAGTCTGATACCGAGCGTTTCATGATGTTAATATTAAATATATTTTTAAAAGGCGTGGTTTTGCATAGAATTGAACAAACATTTCGAAGAGCAACGTTTGGGAGATTGAAGTTAATTATACGCTGAATGATATTTACACATAAACTTTGACTTATGCTTTACAATTTTATATGTCGATACTGTACCCTCTAACACTGGAGGAGGGAGATGCACTTGAGAGAATAATTTGGGTAGAGGGAGGGGGGTACTATCTTTACACTGATTAAATATATTTAATAATTAAATCAATCATGAGTCTTAACGTAATTGAATTAGTGTGGTCATTATGTATAGATTTAATATTATTTTTAAAAATTAATAAGACAATATAAATATTTGTTAAATGAGTGCTATTTTTATTAATATGGATTAAATATTAATTATATTTCAATATGATAACAATTGTAAAATTCTGTGTTAAAAATTGAATATTAATATCTCTCATTATGTCTAAATATCAATCAGCCATAACAATTGAAGCTTAATAGATTTTTAAATTATATTACAATCCTAATTAAATTAATATAATCATTTATTCTTAAAAAAAAAAATTATTCCAATTTAATATTGTGATTTGTGTTAGTTGAGTTCACAATCACTATAAATTTAATTTACCATGCCTCTTCTTAAGAAAATTCTTAAGATCCAACCATTATAGGAAACTTATTTGTTAAACTCAGTAACGAAGCGTCTATAGAAGCAAGGGAAGAATGCTTCCCATAAAATTATTCTTAAAAAATTCTTAAATAAAATTATTATAATCTTTATAATGTTAAAATATTAATACTAATCGTACTTAGTTGAAAAAAACACGTAGGGGAGACTCAGGTTAGAACCATTTTTTACAAAATTGGCAATAGCTCCCTGGTCATTTTAAATAACATAAAAAATTATATGTGATTAGATACCTACAGTTATACTCTATAAAGGTGCCTTATAAAAAATTTTAAGAATATAATCATTTTTTCTAAATTTTATTTTTTATAAAAGTAAAAATTTTAATCCAACAAACTCCAATAGCGGGGTGAGGCAACCATTTTAAGGAGCTTCCTAAACCATCGATTTTTTTAGGCCATAATAAATTGAAATGCATTTTTATTTATTAATAATGATACGTATAGAATAATTTTATTGTTTTATTTTTCAAAATATCATAATACTTATAAATTGAAGCTAATTTACAAAAATTGAAACTTAATTTTGGTTAATTTAATAAAAATTTTGGACATAAAATATAAGGATCTTAAGAAGAAATTATGATTTCTTAGTATAAATCCTAAATACCAATCACAAACAGCCATGTAATTGTCTTTTAAAGATTTTGAAATTTTTTTCTTTATTTAACTGCCATAATTGAGATGCATGGTTTAGCAAGCCCCGCTAGCTATAAATTGACAAATCATGATTGAAATAATATCTAGATATAATAAATACCCACAAAACTTTCCCAAATTTATAGAAGAGTGTTTAAACTTTGCTATAAAATTTCTTTTTATAATTGTTATAGGCTTTTTTATTAAAGACGTGGACTATATTATGGTTGGCGTTTCATATAATATGAGCCAGTAGTTGAATCCGCTTTTTATTTATGGACACGTGCACTGGGCAATGTTTTGATATTTCCCATAGTCTATCATTCGAGACCCTCAGGTAAAAGAAATATTACTTATTTTTTAGAATAAATGAAAGAAAAAAATCATTCGGATACGATATATATTTGGTGTTATTTTTTTTATGACGCTAAAAAATATATAATATAAGCAAATAAAAAAATGCTTATTTTTAAAAAAAATAAAAGAGGAAGAAAAAATTTTTATATTTTATTTTTATCTCTTCTTTTTTAAATATAATTCATACTTTTTTAAAAGAATTATTTAATTAATTATGTCTAATAATTGCAACTTTATTATTAAAAATTGATTAAATATATCATTTAGCTCAAGAAATTTAGATATGAAGAAATTGATTATTCAAAAAGGAAGACTAAAACCAACTTTATTATCGATAAATATGAAAAATATGAGTGACTCACTGGATGTGAATTTCCTTACTCTATATTGTTGTTCATGCCTATTATTCTCAAAGAAAAATATGCTTGGAATGATAAATAATTTTCGGTTATTAATAATTTTTTAAAGATAGTTCAACAGCATGAAGATTAAACCACTCATTTGCAGTCGATGTTCAATCATTTGGCAAAATAGAATTGAAAATATGATAGATTCGATGTCCAAAATAACAGCAAAATTTTATTTAAAAACATAGACGAATTCCGATTGATCTGCATCGGGCCTAATTTTTTAAGCTCAGCCCGGCCCAAATTTTTTTTTAAAAAATAGTCCAACATGGCCCGATCTCGAACAAATTTTTTTAATTTGTGCTGGAAATTTAATATTTATTTTGATTATAAAAAAAGTATTTTACAAATAAAAAATATTAGCACCTTGTTTCTTGCAAGAATTTTAAAATATATCAATTTATTTGACAATGTAATGATAACATATTTAAGAATTTAAACCCGACCTGGCCCGAAGTTTTTAATAGACCAGGTTCGGCCCAAAATCTGTTCGAACCGAATATAGACCGTGTCGTGATTTGCAGATCTCGAATTCAGATTATTTATAGATCTTAATTTTTGCATGGTTTGATTAATAAAAAAATTTCAATTGCTTCTTTAGTATTAAACTTGACACTTCGTCACTGAAGTATATTAAATTGAAACATCTTTTATTTTATTTTATATTTATTAGATAGTGAAGAAAGAAGAGATATTGAATTTGAAATGAATATTTTAAATGTTGTTGATATTTTAGATAGAAAAAGAGGAGATAATGAAAAAGTTTGGGTTCAAGAAAGTACATTTAAAATGCTGTTTTTTAATTTCAAACCATATTTTA